AGGCTATTAAAGGATTCTTGAATGAATGTGAATTAAGAGTAAATAGGAAACCTATTAGGTTTTTGTATAGCAATAACTTGACTAAGGATGCTATTGACGTGCTCAAGTTGTATGAATTAAAAGGGACATTAGAGTTGGTAGAAAAGAAATTATGGTCTATGTAGGGTTTACGTAGGGTCTACGTAGGGTGGTGAAAATAGTCTACATAGGTGTGAGAATGTGAGTTTAGGTAGTTATACTATCTAATATTATAATTACTTTATAGAGATTTTTTTTTTTTATGATTTTATTATATACACGATATCAATATGATATCAAAATTTTATTTTCTTTATATGTATGTGAATTATTTAGATACATAATTGCATTGTAAAAATTATAAAACTAGCAAAAAAAAAAAAAGAAAAAAATACATTATTATTTCACAAATGTAAAAATTTTTTTCCCGTTTTGAACTATCTCATCAACATTATGACATTACAACATTACAACATCACAACATCACGACATCACAATATTACAGCATTAAATAAACACTAAGCATAAAAATGACCATTGAAGCCATATTAAACATAGAAAGACTATTTGAAGAAGACGATAAACCACCCACGGTTGAGTCAGGTAAATCAGGTAAGTCAGGTAAGTCAGGTGAAGATTCAGCCTTAGTACAATGAGATGACGAACAACTTTCTGTTGATGAGGATTGCGGAAAGGCAAGGCTTGGCCTATAAGGATTTGGATTATTTGGTGTGGGATATCTAAAAGAAAATAAATCTTTAATAATGCCATTTTTGATTCGTAATAATGATTTTTAAAGGTACACACCCCAAAGTTTCCAAAATAGCCAATAGTTTTGGTCCGATAGCTTTCTCTTTACCACCTTCACTACCACCTGCGGCAATAGAATCTTCAAGAGTCCTTCCAAGTACTTGTTCAAATGTCATTAAAAAATCGCTAGAATTAAATAATTTTTCGTCTACGTGACTTATGCTGGCGCCAACTCGGAAAGGACTTATACCAGTCTCTAATATTACTGTATTATTTTTTGAATTAGAGGTGTTGGCTAAAAACCCTATAGAATTAGCTTTAGTGCAAGTTTTGTACATTTGTTTTGCTATATTAAGTCAATACACAAATCAGTGAAAGATAACATAAGTTTAGATTCTTTTGGAAGACAAGAAATATAAGTTTTTATAATTGATTTCACATTTGTCTCAAAATATTCACTATCATCGTTTTGATATAAAATTTCTAATGGGTTTTGCCAAAGAATAGAAATAGCATTAGAACACCATATACGATTAACCAGAATAACTGAATATAATGAATCTGTATCAAGATCTTTAAAGATATTTTGAAAAATTTCGGGAGGGATAGAAGTTGACATGATTTGTAATTGGATAACGATAATTGAAAAAAAGTCGAGTTATACCACGTAAAAGTGTACGTATGTACTTATGTACAATACGCAAAAATATCTTAAATATTTGATCGGCCAATGTACACGACAGTAATCGAATTGGGGTGTCACACGGACTAATTGATCAAAAACTATTATCGTTACGGTTATGTAATTTATCATATCGCAGATTTTTTATGTTACACGAATGCAAATCAAACTTTATAACAGTAAAAAGTTATTTACGGCCGAATAAATCTTTAAAAATCTATTAGATTGTGTATATAACCGAATTCTTCCATCATCATCCTTGAAAGGAATTGCTCGGGATGGACCTGCTGCTCCTGTATCATAAAATA